ACTCCCACTTGCAGCCATGCTTCTCGTTTTCTCAAATGCTCTGGCAGCTAGCGTGTGGCTGAATGCACGAGAGAGGGGAGGGACTTAGAACGTGTTTGAGAGGGGCGGGACTGCAGGCACGGCTGCAGTGCAGGGAGTGGAAGCAGAGCGCTGAACACACACGGCTCTTATTAAAACAGCGCTTTCTCACCGGAGTACTTTTCCCCGTCATTCTTAAAGTACCGATACTAATGAAACGGAGGAATCGTACCGTTTTTAACGGCAGGGTATCGCGGTACCTTTCAAGTATCGGTACACCGTGCAACACTACTACAGACAGCAGTTCAGTAAAGTCATCAAAAGAAGCTAAAAGAAGCTAAGAGCACAGCTGAACTCCCGCAGCCCTGGGGGGCCCCTACATTGGTTGTGATGGCAGATGACAGGGTTTGGTCAAGTTGCTCTCTACTGGTGAGGAAAGCGGCATACCACTAAATCAGGTACGGAGTTACTTCCATTTTTGACACCAAGATGTCTGCTTGTATTGTGTTGCTGCTGAGAAGTCTAGGAAGAGGGCTCTTGCATAGGTGTGATGTTTATCTAAATGTTTAGTGATGATATGAACCAGAGTAGCAACAGTACCACCCCCTTGCTTATAGGCAAATTGGTATGGATCAAGTATGTCTTGTCCTTCACAATAGGTTTAGCTGAAGAGGTCATTCCTGTCACGGTTCTCATGGTGTCCCACACTTTTTTGGGGTCTTTGGCTTTAAAAGCATTTCCCAACAGCTCTCTGTGTATTTTGATTCCCTCATTTTGACTTTCAGTTCTTTCTCTGTCTGTTCAAGTGCTCCATAGTCTTTAATTTAATTTAATTTCAAACCTTTATTTATCCAGGTGTATCCCATTGAGATCATTGAACTCTTTTACAAGGGAGACCTGCTCAAGTAGGTTCCACATGAAACATAAAAACATTAACAGAACAATAAAAGGACATCTTACATCATCATCACAGGGATTACAATTTACATAACTATCCACATGTACAGGTACCAACAGCTTCCGATTGAGTAGCATCCAACAGAGCTTTAAAAACATTTAGAGGCACCAGATTGCTCAGTTTCCATTTCAGTTGCAGACTATTCCAAGACAGAGGAGCTGCGCATCTAAAAGCTGTCTTCCCTAAGACAGTCCTAGCAGTTGGCACATTTAATAAAACCACAGCATTCGATCTCAGGCAGTAGCCACTTACAATTCACCATGAGATCAGGGAGCAGATGTAGGATGGAAGTTTCCCTAACATGGCTTTGTAAATAAAAATGTACCAGTGACTGAGCCTCCGTACAGTTAGTGAAAGCAAACCAGCCCTTGCATACAGGGTACAGTGATGGGTTAATGCTTTACAGTTAGTAACAAATCTCAGTGCGCTGTGATACGCAGCATCTAACTTGACCAGGCAATGGGCAGCAGGTGCATTCACATAGACCAGATCACCATAGTCCAGCACAGGTCAAAAGGTCACAGAGCCTTTTCCTGGCCTCAAGCGAGAAACAGGACTTGTTCCTGTAGAACAAACCTAGCCTAACCCTCAGCTTTTTAAGCAGGTTATTGACATGAAGTTTAAAAGTGAGACAATCATCAAGCCAGATACCAAGGTATTTGTAACAGGTAACCACTTCAAGTTTTGTTCCTTGTGTAGTTACAATATCTAAAACAGGCTCTGGTGTATTTTTAGCTTTAGAAAAGAGCATTACCTTGGTTTTCTCAACATTTAAAAGAAGCTTTAGTTCAGAGAGCTGAGTCTGAATAATGTTAAAAACAGCCTGTAATTTAACACCAGCCTCCTTAATGGAGGGACCTGCACAATACATCACGGTATCATCCGCATACAAATGTAAAGTAGCTTCATCCACATTTTCACCTAAACTGTTGATGTAGATGGAGAATAAAAGTGGACCTAAAACAGAACCTTGAGGAACACCATTAGCAATGTTTAACCACTCAGAAGACAGCCCATCAAAGTGAACACATTGGGACCTTTCAGAGAGGTAGTTTTCAAACCACCCACTGCAAGGCTGGACATGCCGATACTGGCTAGCCTCTGCTTTAAGATGTGATGATCGACGGTATCAAACGCTTTGGACAGGTCAATAAATAGAGCTGCACAACTCTGCTTATTGTCTAAAATACTCGCCACATCATTCACCACTTTCATTGTGGCAGTGATGGTGCTGTGTTGCTTTCTGAATCCTGACTGATGTCTAAACAGGATGTCATTTGTAGAGGCAGGACATACGCTGACTTCCACAATTTTGGAATTGTGTTAGTGCTGAGGGAGAGGTTAAAAAGAGTAGTGAGCGGTGGAGCAATAAAATCAGCAGCTATCTTTAAAAAGAAAGGCTCTAAATTGTCCGGGCCAGCCGGTTTTTTAGGATCTAACTTGGTTAAAACTTCACGAACAACATCAACAGTAAAAGGAGTAAAACTAAAAGGGTTTTCCAACACACGTTTTTCAGAGTCACAGACTGTAGTGTTCACTTTGTTTTATGTCCTTAGTCACATACGATTTATTACTTTCTTTTCTGGTTCCCTTGAGTTTGGTCTTATACACTGGTATCATATTCACAGCACTATGATCAGAGTTCAGTATTGGTGGTCTGTATTTAGACACATAGGCTCCTTTATCATTAACAAAGCATTTGTCCAGGATATTGTCTTTCCTGCTGTGATCCCTAACATACTGCTGGAACCCAGGTAACACAGTCTCCAGGCGACATTGCTTCATGTCCCCGAGCACTATTGCCGGTGCATCGGGGTGGCTGAGTTGCAGCTCGTGAACACAGTGTCCTCTGCCGCTGGGAGGCACGTAAACAACAAACAGTAAAATACACCCGGATTCTCTAGGCAGATAAAAGGGTCTTAACGTCATGCCGAGAATTTCTACGTTGGGATTGCAGGTTTTACATTTTACCGAGTATGATCGGCACCACAGATCATTAATATACACACAAATACCGCCTCCTCTGGTTTTCCCCGGGTTCGCATCCCTGTCTGCTCGAACAAGGGTGAGTCCGGGTACTTCAAAGAGAGATTCAGGCATTGTAGATTGAAGCCAACTTTCTGTGAAACATAATAAAGAGGCCTCGAGAAATTCATGACAGTACCTTGTGTATGTCCTTAGTGTGTCCACGTTGTTGCTCAATGAGCGCAGGTTTGTGAGAATGATGGATGGAAGTGGTGGCCGGCTGAATCTCCGCCATATTCTGAACGCCTCCCCTCCTTGTCTCTTTTTCCTGGTGTTTCTAAGCGGCTCCCGAGGGATTTCATCCAATAACGAAGAGCACAGATGGCTTGGTGTATTCGTAGGAGGCCGATCGCATTGTAGCTCTAGCATTGCCTCGCGTCTGTAGCAGCGTAGAGGCCGGGGCTCCTCGCCATACCTGTTCGTGCTGTCACTCAGGTGTGTCTTGGAAAGTTGAATGGCCAGACATGGTCTGCAGAAGGCAAATGTAATCCACAGGATCAAAAGCATGGTCTCTCAAAATGACGAGCATACTGAGACTCGCAGTGACAGGATGCCGTCTCCCTCTGTCTCCTGTATACCAGAGGTGGGTGTAAGTCATACATGTGCAAGTCTCAAGTTACTGGGGTGAGTGTCAAGCAAGTCAAGTCCTACGAAATCCTGATGAATAACCCCAGTTTAAATCAGTTAAAAGACAGTGGTTATGAAACTAGAGTTTTATTTTCAACATTAACAACAATGGAGAGTGGGGCTCTGAAATCATAAAACAGGTAATAGGGGGAATAATTGTGTGTGTGTGTGTGTGTGTGTGTGTGTGTGTGTGTGTGTGTGTGTGTGTGTGTGTGTGTGTGTGTGTGTGTGTGTGTGTGTGTGTGTGTGTGTGTGTGTGTGTGTGTGTGTGTGTGTGTGTGTGTGTGTGTGTGTGTGTGTGTGTGTGTGTGTGTGTGTGTGTGTGTGTGTGTGTGTGTGTGTGTGTGTGTGTGTGTGTGTGTGTGTGTGTGTGTGTGTGTGTGTGTGTGTGTGTGTGTGTGTGTGTGTGTGTGTGTGTGTGTGTGTGTGTGTGTGTGTGTGTGTGTGTGTGTGTGTGTGTGTGTGTGTGTGTGTGTGTGTGTGTGTGTGTGTGTAAAACGTAGCAGCCTGCGGTCGCTCGTTAGCTGTTCTAATGAAGGTAAACACAGTGAAGGCACAGCTCTTTGCAGCTGCTGCTGCTCTTCTCAGATTCTGCTGAGTTGCACGTTACTGCCTCCTGGTGCTGCAGAGATTTCATGAAGTGAAGGAGGTTTTTCTTCTATGAAGCAGCTGTGGGCAGCAGATACTGTGAGAGTCACAGACATGAATACATAGGTCAAGGCAGACTGGTTCACAGACTCTCCTGTTTTGCCGATCCGGTGCTTGAACAAATAACTCTACACCCCTCGCCGAAATGTCCCTAAAATGAAGTCCGAGTTTGAAATATATCTCAAATAATGTATGTATTTCCCCACATAAACATAACAGTCTGCAATGAAACGGCTGTCTCCTGTGCGCTCCACTTCCTACTTTCTCCTGCCAACGAGAAGAGACTTTCTCTCTCTTTTTTTTCTTTCATTGCCCTCTAGGTGCTTCGTACAATACAATGCAAATATTCTATTTTAAAAAGTAAAGTCCTTTCGAGTCATCTGTCTCAAGCCTAAGTCTCAAGTCATAAATACCAAGTCAAAGTCAAGTCGAGTCTTTTATCAATGTTAGTCAAGAAAGTCTCAAGTCAAAAAATAGGCAAGTCATGTGACTCGAGTCAAGTCATGTGACTCGAGTCAAGTCATGTGACTCGAGTCCCCCACCTCTGGTATATACTTTGGTTAGAATATTGCTGTATTACTGTATCAAATATAATAAAGACAAACAGTTGATAAGTAGTATTTTGTTAACTCAAGGTTTATATTAAGTGAGTTTTTATTGTGTTAACTTGTGTATTTATGCTTTTTAGATTGACTTTCTCTCTTTCTCTGTCCGTCTGTTCTAGAAACCGAAAGGAAGAGAGAGATGTCACAGCTGTCAGCAATGTGACAAATCCTTCACAGCATCTGGAACTTTAAAGATCCACCTGCTTATTCACACGGGAGAAAAACCGTACAGCTGTGAAGAGTGTGGGACAACTTTCACTCAATCAGGTGCTCTCAAAACACATCAATATATTCATACTGAAGAAAAACCTTACTGGTGTGAAGAGTGTGGGAAAACTTTCACTCAATCAGGTACTCTCAAAACACATCAACGTATTCATACTGGAGAAAAACCATACAGCTGTGAAGAGTGTGGGACAACTTTCACTAGATCAGGTGCTCTCAAAACACATCAACTTATTCATACTGGAGAAAAACCATACAGCTGTGAAGAGTGTGGGACAACTTTCACTAGATCAGGTGCTCTCAAAACACATCAACTTATTCATACTGGAGAAAAACCATACAGCTGTGAAGAGTGTGGGACAACTTTCACTAGATCAGGTCATCTCAAAACACATCAACGTATTCATACTGGAGAAAAACCTTACAGCTGTGAAGAGTGTGGGACAACTTTCGCTAGATCAAGTGCTCTAGAATCACATCACCATATTCACACTGGAGAAAAACCTTACAGCTGTGAAGAGTGTGGGAAAACTTTCACTCAATCAGGTGATCTCAAAACACATCACCTTATTCACACTGGAGAAAAACCTTACTGCTGTGAAGAGTGTGGGAAAACTTTCACTACATCAGGTGCTCTCAAAAGACATCAACCTATTCATACTGGAGAAAAACCTTACAGCTGTGAAGAGTGTGGGACAACTTTCACTCAATCAAGTGCTCTAGAATCACATCACCGTATTCACACTGGAGAAAAACCTTACTGGTGTGAAGAGTGTGGTAAAACTTTCACTACATCAAGTGCTCTCAAATCACATCTTCGTGTTCACTCAGGAGAAAAACCATAGTGGTTTTAAGAGTGTAGGAGCCGCAATTAAGCATATTTAGTTTTTTTCACAGTTTACAATAAACAATTCCCATCTATTGGCCTTGTGTTGGGTAATCCTTTTTTCCATTACAGATCCCATCCCAACAGCGCCATCTGTTGACGTAACGTCAGAATTGACAGGCATAATGTTCACTGTTCCTTTAAAGTGGACCTATCATGCTATATTTGAATAATATAGTGTAGGACCATACCTATATAAGGCATATTTATACTTTTTATTTTTCAAAATACCAAACCGATCATGCATTTTAGCCATTCCTCATTTCGCTTAATTTAACACTGTCTTTGCATGGGCTGATTCTGTGAGAACAGCGCCATCTGTTGACGTAACGTCAGAACTGACAGGCATAATGTTCATTGTTCCTTTAAGTTTCGTTTTCTGTCTGTCTGCCGACAGCGTGCTGATTCATTGCTTTACATACCAAGGTTTAAGTACACTGTGTCAATAGTTGTAGTATGAGCATCGTCTGGGCTGGCCGTCTGGTAGAATCGGTATGCTCTTCCTCCTGTGTCCACTTCCTCTCCTGTCACCTATGACCCCTTTTATACACCCCACCACCAAGTGTTCAAAATAACATTCAGGGTGTCCGCGGGGTCTTAAAAAGTATTAAAAGTTGATAAATCAATTTAGCAAAAATAAAAAAAAGTATTAAACGGCATTTTCCAAGGTATTAAGAAGGTCCACAGCAACGACAACATAAAACACCCTTTAATTTACTGAAACAACATGTCGGGAAACCCCCTCAAGCAGAGATGGGGACTCGAGTTTGTGACTCGGACTCGAGTCGCACTTAAGTCGCACACACAGAGACTTCAGACTTGACTTGGACTCCTGCTCAAAAGACTTCGGACTCGACTTGGACTCGTGTTTTGGGACTCGTGAACAATCATTGTGTTTTCTATTTTTGGCGTATTAAAGGTGGGGTAGGTAATTTTGAGAAACCGGCTCGAGATCGCTAGAATTTGAAAATACACAACCGGAGAAAATCTGCCACTTCCTCACAGAGCCCCTCCTCCAACACACACGAACGCGCACATGACCAATGAGGGCACGAGATAAATGTGTGCACAGATGGAAGGCTGACAGGCAAGTAGGCCATCCAGTTACTTTAGCCGGGCCGGCTAAAGTAACTGGTCGTGCTTTTTACAGTATTACGGCTTCCACAGATGACTCTTTTTAATGGATCTTTTGTCAAAGCACTCGGTTAGCAAACATGTTTAGCTCAGCATCAGCTATGTAATGTTAACTTAGCTTGCTACTAGCTTTGTAACTGAATATTTGAAAATATGAGTGAATGTTTGCTTGTCACACTTGTTTGCGTTGAATGACGTTGACATCCAACTCTTGACATGACATAAAAAAGGTCGGTAACGTTAATCATTACGTTCCGCTGCCACCATCTACTGGCTAACGTTGAAAAATACATAGTTACATACATAAATACATCTGTCGGTTTATAGGCAGGTTACAGGTTTATTGTTGACCACGTAACGTTAATGTTACAGGTTTATCAGGTTACCATTACACTGGGTTTGAGTGAGAGGATAGAGGAATATGTTTATTTATAGTAGACTTAAAAGATGTCATTAGAGACCCAGTGTAATTAAACAATACGGTTGCAGAGGTCAAATTTTTACATTTTTGTCCACTGGCCAAATGGCTAGCCTAGTGAATGTTGAAATGTTACCAGCCACTCAATAGATTGCCATTGTTATTTGTGGCTGGTGCGTGCAACATACAGAACCAGCCACTTGCATGATTTACCAGCATTTGGCTGGTAAATGGTGTTAATGGTAGATATCTCTTTTGGAACAGGTCATGTTTTAATATCACCAGTTCAGTATATTTCTGATAATATTGCAGCAATAGTTTTTTAGTTGCAAATGGCACAGAACAAATGTTTACTTTGAAGTACTTTTAACACAGTTTCCCTGCGGGGGATTAATAAAGTATTTGTGATACTGATTTCTGATTCTGAAGTGTTTTGCTTATAAGTTGTTTGCATTTAGCTAAAGTGTGATGTTTGTCCTCATATTGCATTGCAATAGCCTGTTTAAAGTGATCATATAACAACTAATCAGTACTGATACTGTATGCTAATAGATATAGGAGTGATAATAATACAGTAAATGCTTTGAATGTCTTAGATATAGCTGTGCAGTATTCTTAACAGACTGGATAGCAGCAGACAATAGAAGGCTTATTACAACCAGAAGAGACATGAGACTTTTATTTTTTAGAGACTTGAGACTTGACTTGGACTCGTGACCAAAGACTTGAGACTTGATCAAGTCTCACCCCACAAAGACTTGAGACTTGACTTGGACTCGTGACCAAAGACTTGAGACTTGATCAAGTCTCACCCCACAAAGACTTGAGACTTGACTTGGACTCGTGACCAAAGACTTGAGACTTGATCAAGTCTCACCCCACAAAGACTTGAGACTTGACTTGGACTCGTGACCAAAAACTTGAGACTTGCAAAAAAAGACTTGTGAACATCTCTGCCCTCAAGTACCTCATTCACACCAACGGTGTTTCAGGGCCGGTTCGGAGCTGGAGCTTGAAAAGCACCGGGTTTTCCTCTTCACACCGCAGCGGAGCAGCCTCTTAGCTCCGGAATCCGGTTCGTTTCAAGCACCAAAAAAAATTGTCCGGCCAGAGCAAAAGCACCACATACGTCACGCTTACGTCGAGGCGGGGGCAAAGACAGATCAACTCCTGAACAACAACAAAAAGCCCGTGTTTTATCCAGTTTGTACACAACGATGGAGAAACTTAACAACTTTAAGAGTTTCAGTGTTTCTGCCATAGACTGTATATATAAAGGTTTCTGCTCATGGTGAAGCAACGTGTCTGCGTGTTAAGGTGGAACCTGAGCATTCACGTTGATCACCTCTCATTATACATCTATAAAACTATAAATATTAAACTTTACTTCACGTGTTCATTTAAGAACAGCTGTTACATACCTGGGTGAAGGTTACAGTTCATTTAAATGAAAGATACAACGTTACTCCACACTCATGGTTCAGTCCACCTTAAGAAATAAGACCGACCTCGGAAGCAGTTGTGTTTTAAAAAAAACCTTTATTGACACGAGTACACTTTTTTATAAGAATATAACTAAACCACAGAAATGACTCCGGAAAAGCTGCAGATAGAGCCATAAGAAATGAATGCAACTGATTTCATCCGCGCGGTTTGGCTTTATGAAGCAGGCACGCAAACGGTTACGCCATGACGCAAACGATGACGCAACGAAGCATTACCAGTCGGACTCTGGGCGGTGTGAAAAGAGCCAGAGCTAAACCGAAGAACTGGTTCTGAACCTGAAAAGCTCTAGCACGGAGCTTGAACCGGAGTTGCGTTGGTGTGAATGAGGTAAAGGTGGCCCCATGCATAGCGTGCCATAAAATGCTGCTTCTTATTTTAAGTTTCGTTGCCTTGCTCCGCTCGGTGGGGGGGGGGGGGGGGTATACCTGAGAGATATACAGCAGGAGAACACGCCGTCCACCGCGGAGAATAAACAGAAGGGCAACCATGCTCCGGGGTCTCCTTCGCTGCTTTTGGTGTATTTTGTGGCGGCAGCAGCGCCACTTACAGGCCTGGCATATGTACTACAGCGTTTCCAGCATTTCCAGCGGTCTAGTGTGAACGGACGCGTTAATGAATCGAATGCGTGTGAACGGAATACTTTTTTGCGTTTTGCGTTTTACTGTATGCGTCCTCGTGGGGCCGGGGTCTAAGCCAAACGATACAGGCTGAAGATCATGGATTCTAAGAAGGGCTTTTTGAAAGCCAAAAGACTGCTCCAAGAGAACTATGTGTAGTGTCCCGTCAATTATGTTAAGTTGTGTCATGTTTGTGTTCGTCATGTTCATGTTAGTTTAGTTTATGTTCCACTTCCTGTTTTATTTTGTACTCACGTTGTCTCATTCCAGGTCCCTTTACTTCCTGCTCTGGTCCCTTTTCCCGCCATCGTCAGTGTCTGCCCCGCCCCTGATTGTTTCCACCTGTGCCCACTTACCTCATGTACATATTGTCCTGTCTCCCCTTGTTAGTTGTCGGTTCGTCTTGTTCGTTGTCCCAAGAAGCCAGATCCAAGCCATCGCTTAAGAGATTCAGTGTTGTGCCTTTTTCCCTCCATGAGAGCACGTTACTTTAGTCATTTTGTTATTTCCTCTAAAAGAGTGATTTTGTTTTTTGCAAGTAAAGATTATTTGTTCTTCAAACCTTTTTTGTCTCTGGGTTGTGCATTTGAGTCCTAAACTATTGAGTCAAGGTTCCTAACACTATGGACATCAACTCTTAATCGCAGCAGCTTGTTTGGACAACATGTTGAACTGGAATGCTATAAAGAGTGAAGATAGAAAAGCACTGCATTCTTCTGCGATCTGTCTTCGTGGATGTTGCAACACAATGGAAGAGGTTGAGTTTTTGGATGAAATGAATAGCACATCAAACATGAGGAATGTGATCATGAAACTCCCGTTTAAACGTAGGGAAAAGTGGAGAACAACTGCATATGCATATTATTAACACAATAAGACAAGAGCAAAGTTTCCAATATTGGTCGACTTCATTGAAAAGCATGCTCGCATTGTATCAGACCCCATGTTTGGAGACATACAGGATGTCATGCCAAAAAGGGATATTAAAGTGTACAAGTCACCCAGCAATAAGCCTGCTCATGGTTATAAGGGAAGTAGCTTTGTTACTGTGACAAGCCCAGGAGTCAATGAAGAGCAAAAACCTTTCCAAAACATCAACTCAGACCATAAAGGCATTACTGTTCAGAAGCGCTGTGTACTTTGTGCAGGAGAACACATCTCTGAAACATGTCAGATGAACAAAACATCTCACAATGAAAAGATCGACTGCTCAAGGAATTTGCTTTGGCTGTCTAACGAAAGGACATCTAAGCAAAGACTGTCAGAAAAGAATGAAATGTGAAGTTTGTTCAATGAAACATCCAACAATATCTAAACATCTACAAGAAAAGGATTGAACAAAAAGACAGCTCTGATAAATCCA